CAAAAAAGGCTAGTTCAAATTTTGCAACCTCTCTTAAGAGATGATAAGGTCATAATTTATATAGATGACATATTGATTCCTACGAAAACAGTGGAAGAAAATTTAACGGCCCTAAGACAAGTACTGTTGATACTTAAAAGTTATAGCTTCGAACTTAATTACAACAAGTGTCACTTCCTTAAAACAAGTATAGAATACTTAGGATATGTGGTTTCTCCCGAAGGTATCACTTTGAGTGAGCGACACGTTAAAGCGGTTAAAAATTTCCCGATTCCAACTAAGACGGTTGAGGTACAAAGGTTCCTCGGACTAACAAATTATTTTCGGAAATTCATTCCGCGGTACGCGGATAAAGCTAAACCTTTAGTAAAGCTATTGCATAAAAATGCGAAGTTCGAGTTTGACGACAGTTGCGTTCATGCTTTTGAATCACTTAAAAACGAGTTGACCACTTATCCGGTGTTACGTTTGTACAATCCTCAGTTAGACACTGAATTGCATACTGACGCAAGTTCGATTGCGCTGGCAGCTATTCTCCTTCAAAAACAAGATACTGGATCGTGGGCTCCGGTAGCTTATTATAGCCAGACTACCAATCAGGCTGAAAAGAATTATCACAGCTTTGAACTTGAGATGTTGGCGGTAGTAAAGTCAATCGAAAGATTTCACATTTATTTATACGGGCTTACTTTTACGGTGGTCACGGACTGCCATGCGTTGGTGTATGCTGTGAATAAAGCACACCTCAATCCACGCGTAGCAAGATGGACCTTGCGTTTGCAGAACTACGGTTTCAAAATACAACACCGAGAAGGGCGTAAAATGTCACACGTGGATGCGTTGAGTCGCGTTAGCGCCTATGTTAATCCGATGCCCTTAGAAAAAGAACTCGAGTACCGGCAATTGCAAGATACTTACCTTAATAATGTCGCACATCAACTAGAAGACTCGGATCATGAAAAGTATGAGTTAATAGAAGGACTTGTTTATAGGAAGGGCAATGACCGACCACGTTTTGTAGTACCCGAGGCCATGACAGGTGATATCATTCGGTTCTATCATAACGAGATGGCACATTGCGGATTTGAAAAAACGTTAGCAGGAATTCAGACAAACTATTGGTTTCCGGCGATGCGTAAAAAAGTTCGCGAGCATATAGATAATTGTGTAAACTGCCTAATAGCAAACTCTGCTGTGAATTCGAGAGAGGGAGAATTACAAATTACAACCAGCCCTAGTAAACCCTTNCAAATACTCCATTCCGATCATCTTGGCCCTTTAACCGAATCATCGGAAGGATTTAAACATGTGCTGTTAATTATTGACGCATTAACTAGATTTACCTGGCTTTTCCCAGTAAAGTCCACGACCTCTAAGGAGACAATAAAACATTTTGTTGCTCTGTTTAACGTGTTCGGTAATCCACACGAAGTGGTTACGGATAGGGGAACGGCTTTTACCTCTCACGAATTCACAACATTCCTGCGGGAAAGAAACACTCATCACAGACAAGTAGCCGTAGCGGCACCATGGTCTAACGGTTTAGTAGAAAGGATCAATAGGTTCCTAAAATCCTCGCTCAAAAAGTTAGTCGAAGATCAGTCATCATGGTCGGATCACCTAAATACTGTACAGTACGTAATTAATAATACTTACCACTCTTCTATTAAGACGACTCCGTCCATGTTACTTCTTGGCTACGACCAACGTGCGCATCCGGATCATGAACTAGTTGATTATCTGAATAAGTTGGCCAAAGTTGAAATAAGTTTCTGTGATGAACGCGAAGCTAGTCGTAGGATAGCAGTTGAAGCAACTGATAAAATTAAGAATTATAATAAGGCCTATTACGATAGTAAACATAAAGTCCCGTCGAAGTATAATCCCGGTGACTATGTCTTAATCAGGGATACGTTGAATAAACCTGGCGAAGACCGAAAACTAAAACCCACATACAAGGGTCCTTACCAAATTGCTAAGGTACTTAACAATAATCGGTATGTAGTATGCGACGTACCAGGGTTTAATGTATCCTCTAGACCATACAACTCAATATTGTCTCCAGACAGAATCAAACCGTGGATCAAAACCGGTTAAAAAACTAAACATTTTGGTATTACTACAATTAGCTCTTAGTGTAACATTATTTAGTTTGTGATTTAAAAAAAAAAAAAAAGAAAGAATCAATCAGTGTAATTGTCATTTAAGTTTGCGTTATTTGTGTTGTTACGAGAAAGGTTTTAGTTTTAAGTTTGTAAACATTCGGGACGAATGCTCGTTCAGGATGGCCGAGCTGTAAGCTTGGAGGTGGTTCCCGCCTTGTAGAGATGGTGGCTCCGCCAAGCGGAACGTGGGGAACTTGTGTATGTCCATCAAGCGGCGAAAGGTGGCGTGCGTGAAAAAGAAGGGAACTCGAGGCTTTTGAACGACTGGTTTCGAGACTTCTTCTCAAAGAGTAGTACAAGACGAAGGAGTTGTAAAAAAGTGTGCTAATAAATAAAAGAGATTCAAGAACGTGTGGCTTCGACGACGTTACCCATCTACTGTCCTTACCAATTCCCGGTCGGGCTGTCGTATCCTGATTTAACCTCTGAGGTCTGGTCTACAAAAGACGTAATACTCAGAGTCGAACCTTGTGGACAAGTTTCGGGCTCTACAAGCGTTTATTGAACACACTGCGTTTCGAGGTAGTTTACAGTATATAATACATATAATACAATATAATATTATAAATATATAATAAATTATATGTATAATATGTATTATTTAATATAGGATTTTTTTGATAAAGATTTGCGGCAGAGTTCGTAGCGGCTGTCATATCGTCAATTTGTGATAACGGAATTGACCAATCTCATAGTTTGATTATAATAAATGATCACGATTGACGCGTAAGGTTGGTTTGGTGTTCTTAAGGGCGGATGTCCCATTGAGCGGAAATCTATAGCGGAACGGAATGTGCGGAACCAGCTCGACCAATCGTAACCATAGAAAAAGCGAAGGAAAGAAAACGGAATGGCTATGATTGGTCGAGCTGGTTCCGCACATTCCGTTCCGCTATATATTTCCGCTCAATGGGACATCGCCCTAAGGCTCGTGGACCTGTTACGCTAGTCCATACGCCATTCTACACAATGACGGGAATTCGAGTCCGCGTACGCTACTGTTTTTCCCCCTCTACTTACGCACACATAGACGGTTCATCCGTGTAACTCGGCGGCGCCGACGGATGACCCTGGCCGCTCAGTCTTCTCTCTGATCATCTCTGATAAAACTAACCCTAAAGCTCGACAAGCGCCGTCTAGATTTCACAAGGAACTAAAACTAGGACCTTATGTTTCCTATCTAAGTTGCTGGCCTCTGGGCATTCGATCGGATCGCGATACGGACAGGACGCGCGAAGCATTTACTGTTCCTGTTGTCGTCGAAAAGTCAACGATGACGTGCGGTTACATTACAATAACAGTGATGAAATAGCGAATGCAGAACGGAACGCGATAGGACTGCTTCTCGAGGATGCTAATACCGGAGCGATGCGATGATTAAGCCCGTTAATATGGAGTAGGCACTTTTCACATAACGAGGTATTCGTGATACGAACGTTTTGAAAACACCCATCAGTGTGTCCGGTCTCTTCGTTGTTAGAGATTGACTCCCAGGTAATAAAAACATTCTATATGTTGTCAGGCGTCATTGAATCTCACGCAATATAAATACTTCAGTAGCATTACTGATAATATTGAGTCGCATATATATATATATATATACATACATTATATATATATATTCACATATATATATATATATATGTATGTACATATATATGGATTATTTTATTCTTTTTTGCTGGTGGCAATATGATATAATAACATTTACATAGTTTATTAAAGTTAGATTTTGTAGCATTACTTTTTAAATTTGTAGTATACATACATATATATGTAAGAGAGTATGTAAAGAAATTCATAATTTTAATAAACATTTAGATAAATGTATAACATTTGATTTGTTTTGTAAATATAAATAAATATAGAAAATTTACTTGTTTACATATACATATCATTAATGTTGATCATTTCAGCCTTAAATTTTTCTCACTAAATTACTCAATATACAATTCTTATCTAGTTTTAAATATATATTAGGAGGAAAAAGATGGAAGAAAAACACTGTAGTAGAAGTCTGATAGAGGAAGGAGAGTCAGAAGAGTCTGAAAATATAATCATTAACGAAGTGGACGGTTTACCAAATCTGCATCCAAATTTTGAACAATTAGAACTTGAATTGGAAAGGGAGAAACATGATACAAATATCAAATCAATTGATGAACTGGTTCATGATGAGGATTTGCCAACTTCTGTAATTGTGACCAATGTGGATCCTCGAGTTTTTAAGGACGACTCCTTAAAGGTAACAAATATTTTTTTCAATTATTGAATGATGAAAAAACTGTCGCGATATCGTGTCTTTATAGCCAGCCATAGAAAAACTGTTCAAACAATTTGGAGAAGATGCAACGTTTCAATACTTTAGATCCTTTAGAAGAATGAGGGTAAACTACAGTTCTCCTAGTGCGGCGGCAAATGCAAGAGTACAATTGCATCAAACACATTTTGGCGAAACAGATATCAATTGTTATTTTGCACAACCGGTAACTCCAATAGGTTCGTGATAGATTAGTTAAAATCAAACATTATATGCTGATACAATTTAAGAAAGAAAAACTTCATGGAAGAGAGTTAATTTTTGCTACTTTTTTTATCTCTACAGATATGGAAGATCAACATCTTCAACCGCCAGCTCTTACCAAACAGTTCCTCATATCCCCTCCTGCTTCTCCGCCAATTGGTTGGGAGCCACATGAGGAAGGGGAGCCGCTCGTTAATCACGACCTATTAGCCGCTATAGCCAATTTATCCACAGGTTATATTTTATATATATATATAAAATAATCTGTGTATACTCGCTTATAGATCCGAATAATATATCCGAAAAATATTAACAGGTGGATCTCACGAATTGCATCCAGGTGGATCGGGACAGCCAGGCATAGTCGTGCACGTTTGCGAGACTGCAAATCCAACGAAAAACGCACCTCGCATTCAACACACGCGATGTCCAGAACATTAATTGCGATGAGTTCATATGCTCCGTAAAGAGAAATTAGATTTGCGTTGGAGAGAACATCTAGAGAGAAACTTTAAATTAGTATTATTACATATACATATATATATATATATATATAAAAGCTGTATTTTTCTCACATAAGAGAATTACGCAGCTGATACTTGTTTAATAAAAAAGATTATGTAAAAAGATAATGGCTCGCAGAGACAACGATAAGGTCTGATTTAAATATTTTTGACGCTTCCCGCGGTTTAGCAGTGGTCTATACACATGCAAATATCAATGATCTATAAATATATCTGTTGTTACATACTGATAAAATATTATATAGCATTCAATTTGTGTTTGTTTGTTGGAGCATGCGATCTTTAATATTTATAATGCAATACTCTCGGGGGTAAGTTCAAGAAATTTCGACAATTTGGCCTATGTCGTTTCTATGTGTTATGCATTAATAAGTGTCTCATTAACTGTATATTATAAAACGAAAAATGTCCAATGTGTCCAAACTAACATTCACTGTGTGTCAAAAAAAAAAAAAAAAAAACCAAACGGAGACCATTGACGTTTTTAAAGATTTCACAATTCTACCTCTCGTTGTTGGTGTGTTATTTGTATTTCTAAACAGCACACGATGTTTAAAGATTATTACATTTATGAATCTACGAACGATATTATTAGTGTTAGAATACCAACAGAATCAAAAAAATCGAAGAGCATTATTTATTCTCGTATTTTTTTTCTTTTTTATTGTATCATCTCTGTGTTTTTAGTTCTTAATTGTGAATGCATGTAAAAAAAAAAAAAATTACGGAAGTATATGGCATTAATATGTATGTGATATGTGTGTATACGAATGTATCATTCTCTAAAAAAAGTATTGTGCGGTCTTTCGTTGTGTGTTTTTTCGTAGGAAGCTAGTCCTATATTAGCTCGAAGACTACGTGCTATCATAAATCTATATCTACTATCTCTTGTTAATGAGGTTTACGAAAACTTATTGTTACTGACTATATGCTCTTTAACGATTAAGTTAGCAGAACTATAAGAGTGATTCAATACGTATGTGATCATATCAGCGATACTGATTTACACACAAACACACACACAGCGGTAATTGTGTATATGTATATACTGTTTCTGTACGTGAAAAACGTATAATTCCTGTTGATGCGAGATTTGCGAGCTGAGAAAAAAGAATTGTTGAATATTTATAAAATACTTTATAGTAACAACTTTATTTTATATAGCGCCGTACGCCGTCTGTATTCTGTATTCTCCCGTCGAGGAAACGGTGTGAAAAAACCTATCCTCGTCTCCTTTAGTTTCAGTGTTTCTTTATCGTGAATTGAAAATCTAAACGAAACGACACGTATTACTACATTAGAAGGAATAATGTACAAATGATTTGTATCAAAGAAGAAGATATATAAATATAAATTATTTTACGTTAAAATTCTGATATATGTATACATTTATATATCTGTCCGGCATGACCGCTATTTGTTTTGCCACAAGGAATTCACTTTTTGTACGTTTCAATGATAAGTAGTCGTCGTATTGTATATATGCATAGAAAATATTGATAATACACATTTGATAATGACGCACTGTACACAATTATGAAATATTTTGTTATTTAATTGATCGAGACTTTTATATCGTTACATTTCTCGTCGTATTTCAGTTATTGAAGTTTATAAAAGCTTTATACATATAACCGTCGTTTTTTTTTTTTACGATTTGCTTAAGTAACTACTTTTTTCTGACTCGATCCGATGATTTCGAATCGTCTGCTTCTATAGATGACGTAGAAATTATTACACATAATATACCACATTCCTATCATTGCTAAAATCAAGTTTGGTGTTGCGAGGTACGCGTGCTTACGCATTAAAATATTGTAGGCCATCAGATGACATTTCTGTCAAGCTTTTAAACATGTATATATTCTGAAAAATGAGAATCACGATCTTCGAACAGTCCAGTTCGCAAATTTGATCATAAAAGCTTAGAGCTAAAATCAAGAATGTAACACAAAAAATATGAAGGAATTCTTCACAGTTCATATCTATAATTCAGTGATAATGAATCACTAAATTAATCCGTTTGTGTAAAACATTATACAGTATGCATATATTCGAGTATACGTAATTTTTTTTATTATTTATTGATTGAATTTATTATGCAATGTTAAAATGTGTATATGTACACACACATACATGCACCATCTTTTGGATTTGTGCAAGGATTTATCGATGTTCCTTAGTGCCAAATTGTTGCATGTCGCCCGCTGTGTAACAAAATTTCTATTTATTACAAATTCGAGTAACGGAATTTGAATAAATAAATATATATACATATATATTTATTCAAATATATATATATATATATATATTTATATATATATATATATATATATACACAGTTTTTAAAAGCATCTTTTAGCAAAGCATAAATAATTGAAACAGCGGTGCTAATTTTTTTTTTTTTTTCATTTAATCCGGTTTTTTTAATCTAATTAAAGTAATCTAGAGAATGAGAGATATAAATGACAAATGCTATTCTCATTGTAGTACAATACTGTACATTGTACACAAGTTCTTATTATTGCGACACTCCACTTTTTTTTTTTCTATACATTTCATTTTATTCATAATAATCGGGCAGTTGTCTCGGGAGGAAGCAGTATAAAATTTACTCTACCGACACGCGTTTTGTGTCAAGATTCTAATTGAGAGAAGGATCGCTACTCTCTGCACTGTATTACAAAAAAACGAAGGTAAAACATAATCACGCGGTATAGCGAATCGAATATATATGTACATATATATCCTCGCACGTATGAGAAAACCGAACGTTCTTTTGTGTTTATAAAAATATAATATTAACCATAGCTCGAGAGGGAGAACAATCTTGTATGTATATAAAAAAAAAATTCCGTGTTATGCCATATACACAAATGTATTAATGTCATCGTCGTGCCTGCGAATATATTTATGTTCAATGAGCCATTCGATCTGTTCCTTTATCATCTTTTTGCTTGGTAAAAACATATTTTTCAGTATGTCCACAAGTTCCGTTTGCAATTGCGCATTTGTGATCTTTTTGCGCATCTTCAAAATTTTAATGATAGCTTCCTGCAGTGAGAAAACATAAGAATTATACATTGTATATTTTGTTTAACCAAATTAGATGTTACTTAAAACTTGCACAACGTACTTGTACTCGTAATATTCTGAGCTGTACAATAGACTGGTTGTCTTCTTCTCTGCTACGTTCCGTTGACAATTGAAGACGTCCTATTAAGTTGATTTTTCCCCGTTTTTGCATTTTGCCGTTTTTCCTAATAGTGAAATATCGTATTTGTCAATTACCTTATAGCATACGGATTACGTAATACTTCTTACAGATATGAGAAATAGAAGATACTAACACAATAGCGAATTCTTGATTCACCCAAAATCTCGTGTCGTTCGCAAAATCTTTTGGAGTAGCCGCATGCGGCTCCACCAAAAGGAGTTGCCGTTTCAACTTCGGGAAGGCACACAGAGACCACAGAGTTCGTCTCAGTTCGGGATCCGGAAGCTCGGTGGCCAATCGGAGATTCTCGTATGAGATCTTTTCGTTGGGTCTTTGATTCCAAGCAAATAAAACTGCCATTTGAAATGTAGTCACGTCTATGTCAAAACGTCCTACTTTATTTGCAAATGTTATCTGAAATATTAGACATTATCAAAACGCTGCGTTAAGAAAAGAAGTCAAGATTGATACATATTTTTTGTAGTAGTTAAATGAATATAATTTTGTGGAAAATATATATCGTACCGTTCCATTCGACATGTGATGGTGCCATTGCAATTTCCTTCCGCTATGTTTCTTTTTGTAAAATTCTTCAACCTCGGGAATATAATCTTCCAATTGAAGCGGTAAACTCACGGTGACTCGCTCACTACCTCTTGCCCATGCGCCCGCATTGAGAATCTGCGATTATTTTTTAGATACGCATATAAATTAGAAACACACATCTTCGCATATAATATTGCGCGTTTTTTTAATTTTTTTTTTTTAATAGCGATTTTGTGCAGAACTACCTTAATATTTATGCTATCTGCAATTGCGGCACGACACTGCTCCTTGAACTGCTGATTCAAATCCTGAGATACCTTAATGTCTTGGAACATACGGGCTAATTTATTAACAAAGTCGGCAGGCATACCGACTTCGCGAAGCATGTCTACCATGTTCTCTTCCTTTTCCGAATCTGTGGTCGTGTCTAATATTAACCGTCTAGTTAAATGTGCCTTGTGATAACGCATAAATACGTCTTTGTTCTGAACGTATTTCAACACCAACAACTGAAACAATATGACGATATAGAGAAAAATTTTATCAGAGATGTTTGACTGTTGAATTAATACGGATACAACTTCATTGTACTGACCACATCTTTCAATTTACTTTCGATTTCGTCAGTAGTTAGTTTTTTACTGAGAGGCGTTTTTCTAAGAAGCATATCACAGAAATTCGCGAGGAGTTCCGGACACTTCGACTCGGCTAATCCGTTATTATTAGTAATAGGTCTATTGTTTAAAACAGACGTGCCACCGATGCCAGAACTCTGTCGAGTAGGCAATTCTAACTTAAACACTGAGGCGTCATTGACTACGAGCTTATAAGCTTTGTCGCGTGCTGTAAGAAACCGCGGATCATCATCGAACGCCTCTTTAACGAGCGTCGAAAATCTATGGAATAGCTCTAACAGTCTTTCTACATATTTCTCGGAATCTTGGGTAATAACATCTACAGCTGCCATCATATCTGCCAGACCCGCGCTCGCGATATGGTCTTCGAGATTTTTCAACATCGGACCAACGCCATCGGGCACTCTGTCCATTAACTTCAGCATGAGACGAAGTTCTGCAATTATTTGTTCTTGTTAACGATTTTCTGACGATATCATAAAAGAGATTTATTATATATATATATATACATATATTCAAGTCGCTACGCGAGCCAAATATGTAATTAGCAGCGACTGTGATACTCACTATCAGTTTGATTGTGTTGAATCATTCGTGGGCACTCCGCGAGTATAGCGGGTGTAAAGGTCGCGACCAACACTTTGACACAACAGTCCGTTAATCGCTGCATACTCGCGGTGTTTGGCTCAAGATATTTCTGAGCGCGCAATTCTTCTTCTCTCAATTTTGCATCGGCATAACGCATGTAATTTTCTACACCATGTTTGGATAAGTATTCTGGTGCTTTTACCCAATAAAATGCCTCTGTAGCTTGCACGTATGCCGCTTCAAAATTTTCCCTATATATCTGAAGCTTATCCACTGGGTTTGAACACAAGTTTACTAAAATATGATATTATTACATTATTAAAGAGAAAAATAAACATTACATATAAATTCAATAAATAAAAAGAAAAAAATTAAATAAACATCCTTTATTTATCGTGCAGTGTTCTTTACCATAAGATTCTCTGACACCGATAACAAGCTGGGAATCAAATGCTTCACCATTCCGTTCAGCTCGCACTAATCTCATAGCAGCATCCTGAAGTCTTTGTTTTATTTCATTGAATATACTTTGGTTCCAACTATCCAACATTAGCTACATACAAAAAAAATAGATTACATAAAACTATTTTTTTTTTTTTTTTTTTTTTTAATCACACATAAAAAAAGTTTGTTACTTAACCTTTTCTAATAATTTTGTTACCTTTCTAACAATATCATCTGGTTGATTTCTTTTGTGAGTGGTGCCAGTTTTTCCTGCAAGATACGTTTCTAATTGTCTAAATGGTGTTGGTAGATAGTTACATTGAGTAAAAAATTTCCTCCATTCAGCTATATATGCTTTTAGTAAAGCTTGTTCTTCTTGATGTGCTAAAACTCTCTGTATAAAATTATAATGTGTAATATCTCTTGATATCTCAGTAATTTAAAATACATAAATAATATTGAAAGTAAAATCTCGGCACATATGTGAATTGTTTTCCTTGCCTGCTGAGCTTGTTGTATAAAATCCATTATATCTTCTTTTAAAGCATCGCGTAATTTTGGTGGCCCTTTATCATCCCACAAACACACATGGACTGAATAAAATAAATCCTGCCATTCTGTTTGCGTAACTGCCTCTTGCTTGAGTAGTTTCAATATGATTGGTCGCATATATGGCCATTTATCCTCAAAAGTAAACTGTGCCTTGTCCTATAAATGTGAGTAAAATGCATTGAGAAAGAAGATAACAAATAATAAATGTTAGTTTATTAATAGACAAGATTTGCAGTGACAAAAGTAAAAGAGTTAAAAACATGAAAGTGAATGTTTGATCAATATTCAACGCGAATTCGATTGATAATTCAATTATCTAATATAAACTTCGAACACGATAAATTACAAAAGTTACGTTCTTCAAACTTCGGAAATATCGGAAATGGATTTAAATCTTAATATGATGTGTGTGGCATTTGTTTGTGATGCAATTGTTTATTGTTGCAGTTCGAAACAATGTCAATTTTCATAAGTTAATGAAAATCATATTTTGACAAAATAAACGATATTCACCATGTTTTACAGCAGTAACTTGTTTATTCACCGTTCACTTAACCTTCAACATCACCGCAGTCGCAAATTTTTGACATGCAAGACTATATACAGCGGGATCCACACCAGTGTTGTTGCGAAGTCGCGTTTTCGCGTATGCGCACTGTACAGCCAATTAGATTCCCATAAAAGCTGTGTTTTGGCGCATGCGCCTTTAAATGTAGCATTACTGCCGTACTAACTCCGACATTATTAAGATTCTGTAAAGACNCAAATAATTTTTCATGATTAACACGTGGAGTATGTTTTAATACTATTTGTTTAGGTTTTTAATAACATTTAAATGAAAAAATATTAAGAAGATAGGATTTAAAAACAATAGAAATAACATTTAATTTAATATTTTATTTGGCAGAAATCACGTATACCAACATTTGTTGCAAAGATAAGGNAAAGTGCCAAAAACCTTACCAGTATTCAAAAAAACAAAAATACATTTTTATTTTAACAAAACTGAATATTTAAGTAATGTAATAATATATAACAGAATATAAAGAATATAATATAAAATATAGTAAGTTATAAGAGAAATTATTATAAATAACTACAAAGAATATTTACAATTATATACATAAACAATTACATTATATTATATTATCAGAAAGAAACCTGAGAGCGGCCATCCTAATGTAAATTTTTACGACGGTTTCAGCCGCTGGTTTTAGCCGTATTTCCACAAAAGTGGAACTCAAAGGCCGTTCTACATTAAACGCAAGTCGCAGATCTCGTCGAATTGACCAATTGCAGAGTCAAATCAGCCAATCGACCAACGTGATTGATCAGTTCCACGAGACCTG